AGCAGGAAAAGAGACGTCTTGAGCGTGAGGAGGATGAAAGGCAATATGCAGAACGCCGTCGTCAAGATGAAGAACGCATGAGAAAAGAGGAGGTATGGCTTTAGTCAACATAAGTCGTCTTTTTGTTTTTCCGAAACAAAATCCCTGGCTCAAAAATATGAAGAAGTCGCTTCTAAAACTTTATTCTCATTTTTCGTTCTCTTCTCGACAGTCCTGGCAAAGCAGAGAACACCCACTAAAATCGCATGTGCTATCAGTATTTCTTTATAATTGAATTACATTCGTATTTTGCGCAACACTTTGGAGCTTGTCATTGATAAGTTATTTTTGAGTTTCTTCTTCGCTTTAATTCTGTTCCAAAAACAGAGTGCCTGACTCCGCGATCTCTCCGCCATGCATGGTATATCTGCTCTCACCGGCTCAACAGAAAATGATTTCGGTTTAGGAAGAGCGGAAAGCTCGAATTGACGCGGAAAGAAGCCGTAAGAATATGGAGCGGGTTCGTCGTCAGCAAATGATGGCAGGGTCTTTTGATGCGCATCATGGGCAGTCTGGTAAGAAAAACTATACAATTACGAAGAACGATCAAGCCGCCCAGTTTGGAAATCTCACTCAGGTAAGGGAACACATCATCTCCTGTACAAAACTGAAAAAGACTTTCTATCCTAGGGTAAAAACGAGGAGCGTGCTAGTAAGGAGCAACAGGAAGAGGCGAAACGTGCGTTCTTAGCGGCTGTGTGCCGTCCGGTTGATGTTTCTCATCTTCTTCCGAACGATTTGAAAGAGCGAATCAAAGGTCTACATGCTCGCATCGTCAAATTGGAAAGTGAAAAGTACGATCTAGAGAAGCGTCTTGAGAGACAGCAGTACGATGTAAGCGATTACGCTTTGCTCTGCTCTGTTATTTTCACTACCATTTTTTGTACGAAGAGAAGTTTCTTGCAGATAAGGGAGCTGCATGAACGACAGCTACAGGTTGCTCGCAATAAAGCCATACAGAAGGGCCTTGACCCTGACGAAGCTGTCTCATCTAAGCATCCGCCAAAAATCACCACTGCTTCAAAATTCGACCGTCAGACGGACAGAAGGTGAGAGAACTAAGCTCAAATACATCAATACAGTTGGCCTTCTTTTCCCAGATCTTATGGTGACCGTCGTCACATGTTTGAGCATCCGGTTATTCAAAAACCTTTCACACTTGCTCGCGGAACAGCTCGTCCTCCAAGCGAATGGGGTCGTAAGGAGAATGAGGAACTTGAGGCACTTCGGTAAAATACGACATTGTACATGATGTTAAATTCTCTTCTTCTTTCCTTTACAGCAGAAATCTTGAGCCACCAAAGTACGTGGAGCTAGCCCCCGTCGAAGGTGATCTGGCAAAACCACCGGTCGCTCCAAGACCTTTGGTGCTTCCGGAACAAGAATTTGTCGAAGAAGCAATGCAACCTGCGGATTCAATGGAGCAAGCACAGGTATGCTCGGAGACACAGCACCTCCTCACGTCTGTGCTTTTGGACAATGTATGTATATCACAGGAGTGTATCGCAGAAGAAGTGCAACCGGACACAGCAACTTCCGCAAAGGAAGAAGTAGGCGCTTCAGCGGAGAAAGCTGCTGCTTAAAATGTCAAGCGCTCAGGAGCATTGCTTCATTTTTCTTACAGTAGTGATTGAAAGAGATCGACTTGTACGCACTGTATGCTTAGGCCTCCCTTCACATAAAAATTCGAGTAGTAAGGTTTTTCACAATGTATGTGTGTTCTCATACCCACCAGTCAAGATATAGGCAGCGGCCCGTAAACCCGCGTACATCTTAGTTGACCTGAGATGAGTCATTCAGAAGAACTTTCTAGGGTGAACCTAATCCTGCTCACCTTCCCGTGCTTTAAGATAATCATTTGAGCAATCAGAAGATTGTCCGGTCAAGTGTCACGGTCAGTATAACAAATGCCATTCAGCCAGAGTGAATTTTAAGGTGACTCAAGAGAGATAGTGTGCAAAAGATGAGAATCAGATGTGTTTCCCGTAAGCTGCTCGTGAAAAACTTACGGGATTAGTTGACGTACTGTTGCAATGCAAAATCCCAAAACTGCACAACTTCGGGGCCCAAATAAGCGAGGATCGATACAGCTGGTTGCGGCGAGAAAGTGGAAAAAAGTTTTTTCCTTTCTTGCACATTTCGCATAGGTTTTTTGAAAGCTGCACAAGAAAATATACATTTGTCCCATTCCGTTTATGTCTCGAGTTTCTCAGTTTTTTATGACATCTTCGTCAAAATGTCGTAGTCTTGTTTCTTCCACCCACTTGTTATGCGATATTTTTGATAAATAGCGGTGACCAGCAATTATTTTGATAATTATTCTGATAGTGGCAGCTACCAAAGATTGCCCGGCGATTGTGGCTTAAAAACCTTCTACTAAACGGCCTCGAACCATAGCCTTTCGCATTGACTTTCAGTTACTAGCCGTTAGACCAAACTTGCCCAAAGAGTTTCGTCTTTGAGAAGCCCAAGACTTTTATGTCTAGAGAACGATCCGCATCTAGATCGATAAGTCACTGGATGCCGGACTGAGGCGTTCTATGTTCAACGAAGTCCCGCCCCAGCCGAGTTGGACTGAACAGGGGTAACTGCAGGCCAGCATTTTGGGAAATCACATTGTCAATTTCTTCCGAGTCTTGACTGCCGTTTTCGAAAGTTTTGAAAGAGAATCTTTACAGGAAAACTCAAAGCCCGCACTCACTAACCTTGCCGAAGGTGTTTCCAGTAGATTCGCTATGATCTGAGAGATTTTAGAAAAGTCAGAAACATAGGAAATGAAAAATCTTTGCGTACCTTTCGCTTTAGCACACATAAAGCTTCATGAAATTTATGCACTGAGCGGATATCTCGAGAACCTCTTTCTTAATGAACGTCATAAGGCTGGGTTCATATGTTCTGTTACATCTAGAACAGTTCCAGCACAGCGATCGAACTGCATGGCTGTGCTGGAACTGTTCCCGAACTTACGCATAGTATGCATACAGCATTGCCCAAAAGTTTCACAATCACTTTACACTGCGCAAACGTATACAACTGATCATTTACCTGAGTCTATCTGCATATGATGTCTGGATTAGCTCGTGGTAGATGTAACGAAAGTTATTGATTCATTTTATTTCTGTCGCTATACTTCAGCTCAAGTCAATTTGAACGGGCTCAAAGGGTATGACAGCCTCATTTATGTTGCTGAATATGTCTGGTAAGTTTCCATGAACCAGGAACTTGAACGCCACGCTTTACTGCAGCTGAAGCTTAAAAGATAAAAAAGCAAAAAAGATTAACCATTCGTTGGCTGACCATCAAGTGTTGGGAAAATTGTGCATTTCAGTCGTTGTCCTAATCCACTTTTATACTCCCCTGTCTTCGCAGTTCCAAATAAGTTTTGAATAGGCAAGAAACTATCGCAACACAACCGGGAACAAATTATTTAAGTGTAGAAAACCTACATCTTAGCCGATACCAATCACAATACTTCTGCATTCCTCGCATCAAACACGCACAGTGGATACTTTGTTCGGTTATTCAGCGATGTCTGTTATGCCTGAAGGGAAAATTCACATGTACCGTTCGTCAAGGCTTTTCCATCTGAACGAGGAGAGTGGGTCCACAGCAGAAATCAAATGAACTTCAGTCACTAATAGTTATTTTATTACATTCATTATGATAAATTTAAAGTACAGCATGAACATCAATAAATTGCTACTAATCTTATGAGCAAAAAATGCAATGCTAGGAAAAAGCAAAAAGGCTTTGAGGCTTAATAAAGCATGCCGTTTTCTTCATTATTTTTTATCATCCTACTCAATACGCGCAGGGCGTGCCACATCTAGGCAGTAAACGAAAGCACTTAAAGGCAGTGTCCCACCAGATTTTGCAATCCCACGTTTTTGCAGGACGGGCCTTTTTGAAACGTAGAACCAGAATTTGTGCTCTAAACGGGATGAAAACGCCGTTGCTTCCAATTATAGATTGTTATCAATCTAAGGATAGAGAGTGGTGAAGCTTATTCAAACTATTATGAAGTTGTATAGCTGTAGTAGAACTCAATGGAGTTTGTCTCATGCCCCCTGCTTGCAGCAAAAGTG